GAGTCTGCTGCAAAAGTGCAATAACTTTTTTAAATGCCCGATATGTTCTGAGAAAGTTTTTGAGAACAACAAGATGTCATCGATGTAACTTACAGTGAATTCTCCGAGCTTATGTTTTCGTATAACATTACACATTATTCTCTGGAATATTGCTGGCGATGTTTTTAGGCCGAATGGTAAACAAGTCCATTGAAAGTGACCTTCCTGTGTGACAAATGCAGTTTTGTATCTGTCTGTGACATGCAGAGGTATTGACCAAAATGCTGAATTCAGGTCCAATGTTGAGAAAAATTTGCAATCTCTTGTTTTTACTATTAGGTCTTCAATAAGTGGAAACGGCTGTGACTGCGGAACAAAAATTTTATTTAGGTCACGAAAATCTATGCACAGCCTTGATTTTTTATTTTCTTCTCTTTTATAAGCTAATGTAACTGGGGCTGCAAACGGACCATATGATTCTTCTATTATGTTTTTTTTCCAACAATTTCGCAATCTGATTTTCTATCTCCTTTTTATCTTCAATGGTGCAACGATATGGCCTTTTACTGCAATAATATTTTTCTACTATCAGATCAATATATGCTTCATAATCGGTTACCGTTCCGATGTCAAATTTGTCCTTTGCAAAAAAACAGATTTATTGTTCAATATTAAGTCATCAATTACTGCTTCTTTCTGATAGTCTAGATGATTTATACAAATTTTTGAAGTTCTCTACATTGAAGTTTTCGTTGAAATTTATTAAATTATCAAATTTTATTTCCTTAGAAATATCAATATCTGTTTTATTTTTGTTTCCTTAGAAACTATTTCACTTCTTAGTATAGGAACTTTCTGATGTATTTCTAAGTTTTCATTTTGGATTAGGTAAAAGTTTTTTTTATACAATCTAGTCCAATTAAAAAATCGTAATCGAAATTTTCCTTGTCTATTACAAGGACATCCATATTTTTTCTCAACATTAAAAATTGTTACATTAAGTGTTACTACGCCTTTAGCCTTTTTAACGCCATTAATTGTTTTTAAATTAGTATTGTTAGAATAAATTAATTCTTTATTGCTTATCTTTAGCAATCTTGAATTTATCAATGACACATTAGAGCCTGAATCATAGATTCCATATATTTCGACTTTTTTATTCACTACTAATTTTACTTTAATTAATGGCGGCATTATTAGTTTTTTTGGTCTTCATATTGCAGTTCACATTCCAATTCTGAATTGTTTATGAGCTTTATTTGTTTCTTATCTTTTTCTTTTTCATTATTTATAGATGTTTTAAACCAACATATGTCTTCTGAATGATATCGTACACCTTTATTTAGTTTTTCACAAATGTTACATTTTTCGTTCATCAATATACTTTTGTTATTTTTTTTAATAAATTTCCTCTTTGTAACCAAATGTTCTAGTTTGCCGAGTTGATTGAATAAGTCTTTTGTTTATATAATATCTTCCTTGTTGATCCTATCCGTTATAAAATCTGGTAAGCCCGCAGCAATTAAATCAATAAGGGTGCTTTCATCAATTGTTTTTCTTACTTCAAGCATAAGTTTTTCTTTTTTTATAGCATATTCTAATAAAGATCCCGATTGGTACTTAAAAAATAAAGCGTACTTGCTAGTAGTCCAACCTTTATTAGCGTATGTTTGCAAAAAGTTTGATTTCCATTCCAACCACTCTGGTTGTAAACTAAGCTTGATCATCATGGAGGTATACCAATCAGTGCATGATTTTTCTAGAAACAGCCTGAAGATTTCAATTTTTTCTTCATCTTTTACTATATCAAACCTTGCACATTCTTTTTCAAATATTTCCATCCAGTGATATACACTTACCTGCTTTCCATCAAACTTTTCAATCACAAACCTGTCGGCTAACTTTTTTATAGATTGTTTTTCTTTGCATTGCTGGCCCTCAATTAATTTTCCCAAAATTTTTACTATAGGATTTTCCGAATCATTTATATTGACAATATCCGTTTGTCCTGGAGTTATTTCCTCAAGGAATTGATCCTGAAAAATCATGTTATCATCTTCATCAAAGTATGTTTGTAATATATCCTCTGTCATTTTTATCCATACACTTCTAGTTTGACGACTTTTTTTTAACGTATTTTTTACTGTAACGAAAGCTTTAGAAGTTTGGATATGCTTGTGAAGTGATACTGCTTGATACTCCTCAGGAATCAGGAAAACTTTGTCATCTTGTCTGGCAACTGAGGTTATGGCATTGTAATATGAATTCGCGTCTACTGCTGGCTTTGCTTTAAACGTAAATTTCAACTTCTCCATTTTTTTTACAGAAAATGTCGTGTGGCGGATGAAAACAACCACCGCGTCTATTTTAAATTTAGCGCGCAAAAGCGCGCGACTCGCGGTTTGCAAACGAGTCGCCTCTGATTGGTCGGCGACCGGGGAGTTACCTCTGCCTCGGGACTCGCCGCTGAGAACACAACGGTCTATTTGCTTTGTTAACAAGAACATTATTTTAAGGGTGAAAATATTGTGAACACATCTAAAGTTCTTCTGATGTAATACAATTAACAGTGAGCACATTTGTGAGTTTTATTTAATGGCATTCCGCATTATATCTTGCCATAGTCGTTTTATAAGATAATATTTTAAAGTGATTTGGATGACACAGCAATCAAAACACAATTGAGTTTCTCTGTAAGTAAAGAAACGACATTTAATGTTATTAATCACAATGTCGATTCCTAAATCACTATTTTACATTAAGTATTTTTGTAATAAAATTATTTTCATTAATTGTGTCATATGACAGCTTAATTCTTTTTATGTTATAATCCGGCGTCAGCCATAGTTTTTAAAATAAATTTTATTAGCGGCCGATGCATGAAAATATTTAAAACAAAGAAATTATTTAAATAAAAGAAAACAATATTTTTCTTTACATACATAAAAACGAATCGCAAAATGTGTTGCTAAGCGCAAATCTCGAGAATAGCTGAACCGATTTCACTAATTCTTCTTTTATAATATTTCTTGAAGTACGAGGATGGTTCTTATGGAATGAAAAATGTTAAAAATTGCCTGAAATAGTCTAAAAACAACACTTTTCTATGTTCCAATATATACTTAAAAGTCAATTTGAACTTTAATACCATACCATAATGTTTAAGTGTTAGTGGAGGGGTTCCGGGAAGGCAAAACAATTTAGTGAATGTGGTGAAATGTCACTTGAAATGTAAACGTCTCTATGCTGTGCATCACTACATAGTATAAAACAAAGTCGTCCCGCTGTCTCTATGTATCTATGTATGGATCCTTAGATCTTTAAAACTACACAACGGATCTTGATGCGGTTTTTTTTACTAGATAGAGTGATTCAAGAGGAAGGTTTATATGTAAGTATAATACATTGCACCCATGCGAAGCCGGGGCGGGTCTCTAGTTAATAAATAAAAATGAATGTTGGTAACACAAGAATGTCTGGACCAATTCGGCTTTTTTTTGTATGTTCCTTAGGTCCACGGAAGGTTTTAATACTATTAAAAAAAAAGAACGAAGTCTGTCCGGGCAGCTAATATTGAATAAAGGTATTTTAATTTGAACAGTAACTTTCAGAATTTTTAACGGTGGTAGAGCCACGCAGCAGCCTCGGCTGTTGCAAGTGGAAGTATAATACTTTCGCGTTTCGTCTGGTGAGTGAGGTAGCCGGAGCCCAATTTTCAAAAAGGTTGTCAACGCATCTGCAAACTGTAGTGTAGCAGATGTCCATGGGCGGCGGTATTCGCTTAACATCAGGTGAACCGTCTGCTCGTTTCGCAACTTAACAAATAAAAAAAATATATTACTTCAAAAATGATGCTTGAATGCTTTTCAAAATTGCGAAACATTTGTCCTTAGCAGACGACCAATGGAATGTGCAGTGGAATTAAGATTACATTAATTCGCAATCAACGACGTGTGCCTAATTGCAACTTTATGTTTCGAACAACGCGAGTCATTGCAATTGTTTGATAAAGAACTCGTTATTGCTGGTGGTGGCTCTCGATTTTGTGTGTGTCGGTGGCATAATGGCGCGTAAAATCGAAACGGTCAGAACTTGGGCAAAATGTAAATTTGAAATTATCTTAAACGTTTACTCCACTGGCATTTATAAAGGCAGTACCCTATTTGTTTTGGAGTTACATAAACAAAGCAGTCGCAGACGAAGAAGTAATTGATCCCACAATACGCGAAATCCCCGGTGGACCAACAGCCCCAACAAAGCCTACGGTATTTCATTCCCAATCAGTGAGACATCACACACTACTGTAATAATTAGCACGCAGCGTGATACGAACCGCGTGACATCCCGTCCGCCGGAGTCATGAAACCAATTGTTGCATTAACTCTATGCAACATTACCAACTTGCACGTTTCGCACTATACTCCATTCGCATTAAGAAAATAGTGAGTCATCAATGCAACTTCAAAATGGAGTAAAAATTCCAACAAGGTTATATTTCAACGAAACTAACCCTTAGCGAGTTGTGATAACGGCTTAGGCTTAACTCTACAATCACCGCTATTCAGAAAGTTAAAAAAATAAACAATTTATAAAAGTAAAGTTAGAGCATTTATGTGTATGTCCCACGGCTGGGCAAAAAACTCATCTGTACAGAGGGAATTAGTCCACCACGCGACCCCACTGCGGATTGGCGAACTTCACATCATTCAATCTTCGAAATATTTTTTTTGGATATAATTTCGAAAATATGCAGGTTTCCTCACATTGTTTCCTTGACCGATGAGCACGTGATAAGTCAGCACTTTACATTAACAATTTCATCGGTGCCGGCACCGGATTGAACTCAGGTTACTCGAGTATACACAAAATTAAAAGCGAGCGCCCGGACAATGAGCTATCACGCCTCCTCATTCAAGTTAGTTTCGTTGAAACATAACCGTCTTATGTTTAAACGAACTGACCCTTAACGCGTTACGATAACGTATATAGTCGTGCGACGCGACCGTATTTATCGTACTCACCGGCGTCCGATAACGTGGTAGCTAGCAGAAGTAACGGAAGAAGACGCGGCCGCATGTTTCCCTCGTGCCGGATCGACTGATAGCGAATACGGTTGTATCGTTTCGGGCGACGCCTCTGCCATTTGTGCAAACATTCGGAATCGAATAATAGAATAGTCCCCCGTAGCCCGTCGCCTAATTGGGTTCCGCTGCAGTCGTTAGCGGTTTGTGCAACGGTGTCGATGGTTCGTCGCTGGCGTGTGCTGACTCAGGTGTTTCGATACGAAACTAACTGTAATGTTGAGGAACAAACTAGATAACGGCCGTGGTGGTTCAGTGTCCGGAAGTTTGCTTTAAAAATACTCCAGTAACCTGAGTTCGTTAGTTCCTGAGTTTGTTATCCCGGTTCCGGCACCGATGAAATTGATGATTTTAAGTGCTGACTTATTACGTGCTCAGCGTTGAAGGAAAACTTCGTGAGGAAACCTGTATATTTTCAAAATAATAACAAAAAATAAATAAAAAGTCTGCCAATCTGCAGTGGGGTAGCGTGGTGGACTACGCTCCCATACCCTCTCTATAGAGGAGCCCTTTGCCCGGCAATGGAACATATATATCCTGTCACTAGTTTTTTTTATTAAACTTGACAAGAATTGCACACTTCCACTGTTGGGCTTCTATTTGGGATTCGATTAAACAAATAATATACTTTCCAATATATTATAACACATTCAAGTTAAAAATGGTATATTTTAAACCGATTTTTATTCAATAATCTTTTCGTCGATAATTTATGTATTCGTCTCTTCCGATTTGCCTTAAAGATAACCGAACATATCTTTATCAATATGCGCCTTATCGGATAAATATTGGTAAAAACGTGGCTACGAACCGATTTCGAAAACGTGAACTACATGATATAATAAAAATGAAGTTCAGAAACTTTTTCCCGACTAATGAAAAATCGCGCTCTAAAAAGTATCAATCAAAAAAATATTCTCATCTGAAATTATTATGTACAAACTATTCAATATTTATCGTGAAGTAAATAAAATAAATCACTAACACCTAATATATTTTAATGTATTTAATACATATTCATTGTGATGTTTGGAGGAAAGCTGTGGATGTATGTAACATACCCTAACAGTAGTAATCGATAAGAAGCTCTTTTTAGATTATGACTTTATGTCCTCCAGAGGGCGCCACATTCAGTTTAATGTGACGTCAGCCTATATCGCTATAGCCTGTATATGCCGCGGATGATTAAGACTCGACTACGACTACGGCGATACCTTATTTGTCATACATATTTTTTATTTATTATATTATAATGACTACTTCAGAAGTCATGAAGTCATGATATAACAGATGAACATAATTACATACATATTGAACAGATTCTCTCAAATTTGTTCATTTAAAAATATTAATTCTTGAATAAAAAAACAACAAAAAAAATGTCAAAAAGGTCACAAGTAACAAGAGTGGAACTGAAGGTAATAAATAATCTGTGCGTGTTTCACCGGTCTTATTAGTTCCAAGGCTTGAAGTACGCCCATTGCCTACACTGCGTACGAATATGGGGACAAACAGGACGGAATTGGATAGATTATTTGAGGACGTTACTATGATCCAAACTGCGGTTGACGACCCAGCCACCGCGTCTGAAATATCTTAAGTAATCGTTGACTCTATTGGCGTAGTGGATAATGAAGCCGTCTCTTGCGCCAAAAGCTGTCTCAGGTTTGATACCCAACTCCGGAAAATTATTGTGGGATGAACATATTAATTTACAAAAGAAAAGTATGTTGAAGAATGTATATTCGGTTACTTGGTAGTCATTGTACAAAACTTGGTTAGTTTGGGTCCATACAATGTATTAAAAAATGTCCGGGAGTATTTATTTATTTTATTTATGTATTGAGAAATTCGCGTAGCAGGATGTTCATGGCTCATAGCATCAAAACTTATGTATTTTCAATGACACTACAGGCGTTAAATTCCTATTTTTTACTAGCGGCTGCAGGCGTAACATTCAGACAGAAACACAGATATACATAAATAATAAATAAATATTTCGGATACATTTTTTAAACAACATTCTCTAGTCCCGGACTAAGCAACGCTTGTACTATGGGTACTAGAAAACTGATAAACATACTTTTTTTTTGTAAATAAATACATATTATACATATAAAAACACCCAGACACTGGAAAAATACTATGTTCATCACACAATATTTTTCCAGTAGTGGGGATCGAACCCACACCCTCTGGCGCAAGTCAATACTCCCCACGCCAATCGGGTCGCCAAATATTAATTTATATACATATGTATATAAATTATAACCTATGTGCTATTCTCATGTATAAGCTATATTATTGTAAAGTTTCATTAAAATCCATTCTGTAGTATTTGCGTGAAAGAGTAACAAACATCCATCCATACATAAAAACTTTCGCGTTTATACCTAATATGAGTAAGGATTCAAAATAAGGTGACTGTATTATAATATCTATTTTTTATGAGGCTGATATTGAATAGACCATAGAGAAAAGTCGAACCGGCCGGAATAAGAGATTCAAAATTTTATTGGTAAGACTATCTCAGGCATTCGCTAAAAAAAATCCATAATGGGTAGAAGTATAATAATACGCGATATTCATTTTCGAAAACATAAAAATCAGTATTATGCGGTTGTGCGTTTTGGACAGAAATAAGTAGCGAGTGTTTTTCGAAAACTCGTCTTAAGGGTTGTCGGGTCTGACTTACATTAAAATACATTACTTAACCCTTTAACTTACATTAAGTACGTTGAAGGGCCAGACTACGGGAGTTAGAGGTGGACGTAGATTAAGCTAAGCCATTCTTAGGTTAAAAGTACTTTATTATGAACTTTACATTCAATTAAAATAAGATACAGTGATTAAGAAAACTAATATGAAACTTCACACGAGGTTAAGTTAAATCATACTTAAGTTTATATTTATACAATATTTATGATATTACAGTCTTTAATATCATATGGTCTGCATTTAATGTGTCATACAGTTGTAATTTTATATATTTATTTCTTTACATAATTCGTTCGCAATGAAACTCTATTTCTTAAAACATATTTAATATCTTTTTCTTCAGTCGTATATCGGATTGAATGCAATATTTCCTATAAGTACCTATACATATGCTATATGTGTACCATTGCTGTTGATTAAATATTTTAGTATCTTCGTAAAGTTTTTTGTTGTTAGGTAATCATAATGAAAGATTTTCTTCTTATATAGACATACTTGTAGAGTTCCGATAGTTCATTGCCGTGCTCTATTGTAATATCGTCGGCTGTCATAATATCAATCACAATAGCCAACCACTACAGTTTACATCGGGTTCACGACATCGCCTAGCGATTTAGCTGGTGCCACAAGCTGGTAATAATCAATAAAACACGGAGAAACGATTCACGGACGCTTAATACGGAACGACAACGTGTTTATATAACAGTTATTATAACAACGTAATAGTTTTTACGACAACGGAGCCGGTCTAGGCGGCGATGGGGCTGGTTTTCTCAGCGGATGCGCCCCCGGGCACCTTCCCGCCGAAGCTGTGGCGGAAGCTGTCCCGGAGCCGCGCCGCCCTGGTGGCGGTCCACTGGCGGTGGCGGCGGGGGCCGGCCAGCGCGCCCACCACCACCAGCGACAGCCCCACCACGATCACGACGACCCAGGCGAGCGGGAAGCGGTCTGAACAGAACGATTTAAAGTTCATGCACAGATCAGTTCAGAGGTGGTTTATTATTTAACTTTAGTGTAGTTATATATTGTTATTAAATTCAAATTAAACGCATTAGACTCCTGTGTAAATTTCGTTTATTAGTTATTGTACTTAGCTGATCGAATTCGGTGTAAGGATTAGGGAATGTATTAGCGGACCACATTAAACACGTGTACGACGACATTGGTGAGATATGTTTATAAATATGATGCTGGATTCACGGAAAGTATAAACACAAAAAGCAAGAACAACAATTTACAGATATCACGAATGCGTTTGCAAACACGGACAATATAAAACAGATCTCAAGTGTGTTTATTCGCCGAAGAATAGAAACTAAATCAGATCGTGAATGGCCTTGTGTTCAATGCATGTTAGTGTGGATTATGTGGGCGTGGTTGGTATATAGAGCGGCACTTACAAACGGGCCCGACGGGACGCTCGGGGTCCGTCGGCGGCGCCTGCAGGCTGTGCAGCGTCTGCTGGGAGTACTCTACGTCGTGGCCGCGCACCCTCACCGCCACCGTCCACGGGTGCAGCTCGAGCACCGACGGGTTCGGGATTCGAATCTCGCACCTGCCCACCGAGAGCAGGCTGTCGCTGCGATAGCCCTCGGGCAGGTTCTCGGTCGTGAAGCCTGTATTGTAGCATATGGGTATTTGATTTAACGGTGATAGGGTCACGCAGCAGCCACGGCTGTTGCACGAATGGGCAGGCTCGTCCGGGTAAGAACCACGACCTCACAGAAGACCGGCATAAAGTGGAAGTATGACAAATACTTTCGCGTTTCGTCTGGTGAGTGAAGTAACCGGAGCCCAATTTCCAAAAAGGTTGTCAACGCATCTGCAAACCCTCGGGTGTAGCAGATGTCTATGGGCGGCGGTATTCACTTAACATCAGGTAAAACGTCTGTTCGTTTGGCAACTTTTCACATAAAAAAAATAATAAAATTGGGTATTTGATGTATACAGGAGTATGATCAATATAATGTTCAAATTACCAGAAGTTCAAATTCGTAGGTTGGGAACGCTGGGTAGACGAGACAAAAAAATATGCTGGAAACTGTTGGAGGAGGCCTATCTTACACGAAGACTTGAGTATATAAATGCGCATAATATATTAATAATATTCTTAGTATAATGTCAGTAAATAATCTTAGTATAGTTCAAAAATTTAATCAAGTTTAAAACTCTGTGGGACAGAATAAATAAAAGGGGCTTCATTATTATTATAATACCTGATGCAATGGCTTACCCAAGCCGTCGATACGGACGAATCTGCAGTATTCAAGTGGGCGGTTGTCATGGACACGACCTGTCACTATCACCGCGTTCTTCTCTTCCCGCTGTTCGGCAGTCAGGAGTTCTGTAACGTTACACGCATGTAGAATATATGTCTGACTTTCAAATAAAAAAAGAATCATCAAAACCGGTACACTCAATCGAAAGTTCTGAGGTGACAAACATAAAAAAAATACAGTCGAATTGAGATCCTGCTCCGCTTTTGAAGTAGGTTGAAAACATTTACAAGTAGAATATGGGCATTCTTCATGGCCGCCGCTTTAAACATCACATAATATAATGCGTTTCAAATGGGAATAGTAACGTCAATGACCTAGAATGACCAAGATCTGTCAACTCATACATGTATAGTGATACATATGCAGGGTGGCTTTTCTTAAGGTGCCCGGATTCACACAGGTGGTTCAGACTCGGTAGTATAATCGTTTATTGAAATGAAAACAAACTTTTTTTTTCAAAAACTGCCATTCCATTCCTTACAAAACAGAACTAGTTGAATTGCGGTAGTCATTTATAAATGCGTCGTATACTTCTGCAACGAACTTTTGTGCGTGTTAGTTATGAATGATCGCGCGTAAAATAAATGAGTTGCCCATAAATCATGCACTTTTTGAGATAAGTTCAAATGAATGTATTTAATTAATTACGAGTTTTTCTACATATTTGAATGTTCAATATTAAGTGCAAAGATTAGCACTATAAACAATTTAAATTTCTAAAAAAGCAATGGCGACATCTCTCGTTCGAATTATCGTTGTAAAACGATATTCGAAATTGTTTGTATGCTGGAAAGGATATAACAATAGATGGCGCCAAGCATTGCTTCAAATGCTAAGAAAACAATGTAGAGGAATGCGTTAAGATTTTCGTCGGTGTGGTCATCAGCCGTTTAGCTCAGTGGCTAGAGCGTCAGGCCGCGAATGCCGAAGACGTGGGTTCGATTCCCACAGCGGCGACAATCTTTTCGCACTTTTTCTACATATTTGAATGTTCAATCTTAAGTGCAAAGATTAGCACTATAAACAATTTAAATTTCTAATTACGAGTGATTTAAATATTTATCATTTTTATATAACATTATTTGTCTAGAATTTATTAAAAAAAAATGGATACACTTAAAAAAGCCTCACTGTATACTGTGTGAACTGATGCTAATAAAAAAAAATTCCACCCTAAATTTTTAAAAAGTATACCATAATCTATTGAAGTCATAGTTTTAAAAATAATTTAAAACAGGTTTCCTTTTCTATTTTCATTATTTAAGCGATAACTTTATTGTTATTACAGGTAACAAAATACCTATTTGTCTTTTATATACCAGTTGGTGTAATATCTCAACGCCTACATAAATATATGTTCTATTTCAGAAAGCATCAGTGTTAATGATGACGATGATGTATATTCAACCAGTAAAGCAGAAATGAGCGGCATTGAAGTGCTACATTCCGATTATACATTATAGATCATACTTTGCAAATAATAATAAATATCACTTTCAAAATATCTGTTTTGCTCACCCTACCTAACTGGCTTGGATTGATATCAATGACGTCACAAGATGGCGCGAGGTCAATCCTATTCTTATTTGGATCGTATTGTATCGCTAACGTAACCTACTAAAAATGTAACCTACTGCACCCAAATTAATCGGAAATTTCAATTTTGAGTTATAATGACAAGACTTTTTAAGAATCCAAACTAACATACATGATGTATAACACTCAGATTCGACAACGGCTCCGGAAGAGAAAGTATAAATTTTTTTACGTAATATTCAATTTAAAATGCTTTACGATTAAATAAGTACATAATTTTATTCTAATTTGGTGCTATTAAGTGACTATAATGTCTACTAGTTTACTTTTTTTAATTACTAAAAATTGTTTATTATAGCTTAATTTAACCAGAAGCAATTAATTAGCTGAGTCTACGCAATGCGCAATTTATTTTGTCCAACCTATTTATAATTATTTACCTCTGAAGAATGGAATTCAAAATTTCAATCACGCTCTGTAATGAGAACGAGATTGTTGATTAAGGGAATATGTTTTTAATTTAAAGATGTATCTTAACAATTACAATATAAATATTCTACAGAAGCAATGAATTTGTCATTGATTAAATTATGAATAGTTTGTAGATCGCGTTATTCCGTAGTTTTTTTTTGTGAATAGAGATGGTACTGTGATTACCGTTGTTCATGGACATCCACAACACCTGAGGGTTTGTAGGTGTCTTGATAGCCTTTAAAAGGAGTGGGCTTCAGTTACGGCACACACCGGACGAAATGCAAAAGTATTATACTTTTATGAAGCTGTGGTACTTCACCGGAAGAGCCTGCCCATTTGTACAACAGCAGAAGTTGTTGCGTGTCCCTACCACATTACTGTCAATTACGACTGTCGAGGCATCACCTACACGGACACTACAGTGTCTAAGCATCGTAAAAAGGTTCGACTCGAGTTTCTCGAGTAACGGATCTTGATGCGGTATTTTTTATAAGTTAGAGTGATTCAAGAGTAAGGTTTATAAATCTATAATAGTATAGGCAATCCTAATTAGTATGCGACTGAAGATCAAGGTGCGAAAGAAGCGACCGAACCTTGCACGGAGACTTCGAACTGGGCGCGCTGCTCGGGCTCCGTGGGGTCGGAAAAGCCGACGTGGCAGCTCCAGAGGCCGCCGTCAGACGGTAGAAGGTTCGAGAAGCGGACAGAGCACTCGCCAGCGTCGAAGCCGGCGCCTGCGTACTCGACGAACGCCGTGGACTCACCTGGCGAGGTCAAAATTGACGCTTCTTTACTCTACCCGCGTATTTTGGACGACCCCCCACTAGATGGCTTTGACAAATATGTGGAAAGTCAATAGATGCAGGTGGTTCAGGATCATGCATCGTGGCTCTGTGCGGGAGGAGATTTGTCCAGCAGTGGACAGACGCAGACTGATTTTTTTTAAGGTTATTAGGTCTGCTTAGCTGATAACAATCAGAAATGATGATGATTAGATTAATTTTATAATTAACTCTTATAGTTGCCTTGGATAGTTAATAATTGTTAGATAATACTACCGTAAGTTATAAGGGTGTTTTATATATCCAATTTTATTGAACCAGTACTTGTTCAATGTGAGATTTAAACCGCAGAAGTGACAGGTGATGGGCCAATTTTATCGTCTGTTCACAAATTTACAGCACTCCAGCAAAAAATTTTAAGTTACTGCGGTCGTTTGATAGTACTACTATTTAGTAAGTTATTATCATAATCATCATGAAATCAGTAACCAGAACATACAAGAACTAAGAAGAAAGTAAAATCAATCTCGCAATGTACACACATTCCGCTCTGTCGTATTGCGGAGCTCATACATATCTGTCCTCCCATTTGGGTTCGGCTACGTTTAGTAATGCAATTATTTGATGAGTAGTATATAGATATATTTTATTAATTCTTAATCTTAATTAAATATAATGCATGATAATCATAACATATTAGGCTCATTAAATATATATTAAGTGGCTAGCAATCTGAGATGTCTGAATTAGACAAGACGCTTACCGGGACTGACGGAGAAAGTGGTTCCATTGCGGGCTCTGAAGTAACAGTAGCGAATTGGAGACTGTACCGAGCAGGACATGGTGACGGGCGTGCCAGTAACTCCGTTAACTAATTCGCTCTCGGCTTGCAGCAGGGGCTCTGAAAGGAAAAGCTGTTGTCACTCTTTTAATAAAAGCAACCTCTGCTCCGGGGAGGAATAACCGTGACGCGGGGGGCTTCCCCGAACATGTATAACGATCACTAGTGGCTCAAACCACAATGTACCACGAAATCGCTTTTAAATCAATGCATTCAAAATTCGTGTTAGCCAATATAATACAAGTTTCAGATAGTGATAGTTACAGGAAAAATCAGTTGTGGAATGATGGCTTAAATTCCCTCTTTCTTAGCACGTAACTTTAAAGATTGTGCTCTAGTTATATTGAACAGAAAAAGTGTAGTCAATTTACTCCGATCTTCTGTAAGACGGTGTTGCTTCCTCAGTCGGGTCAAGCCTACGTGCAACAGAATCAAATCAATCTCACCAGATTGGACCATCGCGGCCACTTCAGGGTCCCGCATGGCCCATGGACAAAGGGCCGTCAGGAACCCGTAGTATGTCTCGGTCTCAGTCTCGAGGGCGCAGCGCCACAGACCCAGGTCTCCGATCACAGGTTCGGTGATTTGGAGACCGCACTCGTAGCCGTGGACTCCAGATGAGTAGCTGAAATATAAGAATGTACTGGCTACATTTAAAAGATTAGAAGGGGCGATATTAAATCGGAAGAACGTGTTTTCATATTCCTCACCAGCGCATATCAGTAATGGTATAGACGGTACTGACACAGTAAAAAACATGTTCGTTTAAAATGGTATTTTCCTCGCGTGAAGGAGGGAAAGAAAGTTACTTCTACGTCTCGTTTGGCGCGTGAGGTAGTGCAATCCTACGGGTGTTGAAAATGTCCATAGGCGGTGGTTATTAACTATATACACTTAAGATCAGACTTACAGCAGGCTCACACACCATCTCCTTACATAAAAAAATACTTTTCTGAGTAATTACGGCCGTCTTTAGACAATGAAAAGCGACAGGGTGTTTTTTTTTATGTGACAAGTTCACCTGATGAAAGTGCTATACGTCACCCATAGACATTTGCAATTCCGTAGGGCTGCAGATACATTGCCAACGTTTATAAAGAGGGTTTCCGTATTATATTAATAAAGAGGGTTTCCGTTGCCACACTCACTAAACGAAACGCAGAAGTATTCTTCTACTTCACGCCGGTCTTCTGTGAGGTCGCTGTATTTTCGTGGCCGAACCTGCCCATTCGTGCTAACTTTTCTCTTACCTCCCCACCACACCTCCCCACAGCTATATGAAAAAGTGTACCTGGCACCGTTGCCGTGGAAGGCGTAACGGCCTTCTCCAACTCCTGGAGCGGCGAGAAGCACGCGGCCAGACGGGTCGCGGAACTTGCACGCGCGGACCGGCTCCGGACTCGACACCGAGCACGTCAGCGTCACAATGGGTTTCTCCGTCGCGATGCTGGTCGACACCGCAGGTTTCGACGCTTAAGTGAGTAACAGACTTTATGTTTATGTCTTGCAAAGGCGCCGTTACTGAAGGTATAACGTGAATTAACAGATTAGACAAGAACACTTTACATAGAACAAGTTATTGTATATCTTTTATTAATTTTAAATAAAAGGTATTTTTACGCTTGATTTACTCAATGTACCGCTTTTTACAGAACTACAAAATTAAGCCGAAACCTATTAAATATATTCTAGAGCCAAAGATTTTGTAATACACAATACCTATAGTATCCATGGACAGTGATTCGATTGCTAAGCTATTGGCTTCGGCGTCGGGGTCGTGGGTTCGATTCTCACACGGGACAAGTATTTGTGTGACCCTTAGATAATTGTTCGGGATCTGGGTGCTTGTTTTACCAAGGAGGATTGACGGCCGGTCGTAAAAAACCTAGCCAAAAACTGATTACATGATTCACATGCTGTGCCGACCACACCTAGGTGGGATAAGGGCAGGAGGATGATGATCCATGGACAACTGTTAACAAGAGGAAATTCCCTACACATTAATGTTTCAGAATATTAAAGAATGGCAATTGTTGATGCCAATATGAACTTCTACATGTATTATGTTTTTGGTCGCAATGACTCCAATTTCTCTTACCTCCTTCCCTGACGGCGACCTCAAATTTGTGCTCCTCAGTAAGCATACGTCCCTCCGAGCCCACAAACATTTTCCAAGTACCAGCGTGCTCGGTAGACACCCTAGCCAAGCTTATGTTACATTTGCCGAATCCATCGAAAACAACGTTATCGTTGGCGTCCAGGACTCTGCAGTAGACGGTATTGTCCGAACCAATCAGTTGCTCAACTGGCCTGTCCATAGTCCACGTGTAGTGGCTTGGAAGCTCAGTGTTGTTAAGACCTACGTGTAGGAATTTGATTTTACTTATTATTCTTTTAAAGTGGCTGATTCAAAGATTGATTAAGTTCATTTTCATTTAAAGTTTAATCTTGCAATTTGAAAAAACGATTCATATAAGAACGCTGCGATTTGAATACAATCTTTGATTATGATTCATTGTAATATATCACTTTCTGAATTGGACAAGCGGTGTACACAATTCGTAATTGCAAAATTGCGGTACACAACAGTCTTCTCCGTTGCACGAACGGGCAGCTCCATCCGGGTAAGTACCACGACCTCACAGAAGACTGGCGTGAAGTGGAAGCAATAAACTTTTGCGTTTCTTCTGGTGAGTGAGATAAACTGAGCCCACTTCTTAAAGCTTGTCAACTCATCTGCAAGGTGTTGTAGATGCCAATGGGCGGCTATATTCAATCAACATCAGGTGAAACGCCTGCTCACTTGATAAAATTTCACATAAAAAAGCCATTATACAATTCGTAATTGCAAAAGTGCGGTACGACAGGCAAAAGCGCCTTAACGCATGGTGCGGTGCATTCAGTTGGCACTAGTGATAGTTTAGCGTGTTAATAATCTAAAATTCAAAATGAAAGTGGTATGTGCAGCAAGTGACAAGAGTGCAATGCGTAACAATTACTGAAAGCTTGAAATTAAATTGCAAGCTAAAGCTGCATTTGTACAGTTGCTTCTTCTGTATGCGAAAGTAAGGTTAGGCATCGTAATAGCATGTAATTCCTGTGTATGACACTGTGGGTGTTAGGGACGGGTGTATAATTATCCTAGATTAAACTCTAAATTTACCGTGAATAATAAGAAGAGTCCATGCTTTGTAATTTGTTTTTACTCCGTATGCTATGTGCCAGTATCCGGAATCTTTTTGGGTCGCGTTTCTTAAGATGAAACCGCACGTATCGATATGCCTAGCGTCTTTCTCTATGTCAACACGCTCATTATTAGCAGGGTCAATCAATTTACAAGATTCGTAAAACGGCGTCGACGCTTCTAGACGTATGTAAATATCATTTCCCTCCACCACGGCTATTTCACTCGGTATGGCATTCACTATTTCTGTAATTAAGAAATCCTTTTATAAGTTAAACATATGCGATTATAGCTTTATTTCACGTGTCCATCGCTTTCTTTATCGTGTCGTTATCTTTATCTCATAGACGTGACTTGATACACGTAAGTTTCAAGCGATTAGTATCGATCCAATACACCAGTTTTAAATAATATAATACCTTCTAAAATTATTGTGACCGGCATTCTCTTTTCAACGATCTCCGTGCTGAACCTGGTGCTACGCGATATCAACATCCAATTGCCGGCTAGGTCTTCGGACACGACGTGGATTTTTATCCCGCACGCGACGTTTTGGTCCTTGATTGCTGCTATTCCGTAAATGTCCAGCTCATCTAAGTCATGCCGCTCGCCGTCTGGTGTTACCAGGGAGCATTTCTCGGTGTCCAGAAAGTCGTACTCGAGGATCTTTACGGTGTGCACTTCACCTATCCTCGTCGTGAAATAGCCCGGCTCCATATCAATTATGGTAACATCCTCGAGCTTTGGCGTCGTGGTTTCGACAGAACTTACAGTTGTGAGCTCCTCAATTCCGGTTGTCTCCTCTGTTGGTTCGGTTGGTATTGTTATGATGTTCTTTGTGGATTCTTTAATAGTTTCCTCTGTTGTAATATCTTCAGTACTAGCGATTTCGGTAACGGTCTCTGTTATTTAAAAAATTAAATCGGAGAAATTAAACGATTTCGATGGCAATATTGTATGGCGTTTTTTAATCAATATTGGAAATTTTATTTATAAGATCAATTATTTTACTATTTGACCAAAAACGGAACTTACAAAAAGAACTTGAGATATTTGGCGCGAAATATTTAAGCAATTATGGTTTGCTAATTAGTGAATTCGCATGAAGTAATATAGGTAAATTGAAATGAAGGAATTGTAAATGCCATGGTCTTGCCAAAGCGGACGGCACAATATCTTTGCGGATGATGACTTCACAATAGATGCTATTACACATCTGAAAAGCGTTTAGTATCTAGATATAATCGCAAATACCTAATTTACTCACTAAACCAACTAAAGGCAGGTTTCAATATTCTATTTACAGATACATTTGGTCACTGGAGATAGATTTTACGTAAGTATTATGGAGCTAATTTCAAATACCTATCGTTATAGTATCTGCAGATAGAATATTGAAACTGGCCGTTAGTCGATTCCGAACCTGCTGAGTTCACGGTGACTTGGTACGATTGGGACAGATTGTTGTCAGTGTCGGAGACCGAGCGCAGGGTCCACAGCCCGCTGTCGTTGCCGTCCACATTTCGCACGGTGACCTGGCACGCGGAGACCAGTGGGGCGTCGGGCCTCAACTGGTACTTTGCGTCCGAGTGATCATTCGGCTTGAACTCGATCGTTTCACCCCTGGGCGTCTCTAAGTAGCACCCGATCACGTTGTCGTCGAACGTCAGGATCGACGTCTCCAAATTCTCACCGGAGTCGAGGCTTAATGGGATCGCCGCTTCCGACCTTGCTGTTAGACCTGCATAAAACGATAGTTTGTTATTATTAATACGAATTGCCAGTATTCAAGAGGCAAGATTTTTTGTGATGTGTAGTTTCTTGTTAATTAAATTAACTTAATTAACTTAATAATCCCGCGTATTTAATGTAACTGGATAATAGATATATAGAATTGTAAAAATCAATGTTATTAAGCGTAAGCATAATCAGCAATAAATTCTTTTATCGCAACCCTGCAGACTATAAATTATAAATATTTTTTTGCATTCTACATAAGTTAGTAAACAGTAATTTTTGATATTGATATTCTTTTAAATGTGCATTTACAAAATTAGTCATATTTTGTCGAATGAACAGCACTCCTTATCAGTCTATTTTCATTAATATTTTAATCTAGCTGATATTATAATTTTGAAATAATGTTCAGTGTAGGTAAATATCAAATATGATAAGCTAAGCGACTTTTTTATAGACATTGTCGAAAAATTTTCGGACCTGTTGGATTCGAACTATTATCTGTCGGGTAATGCATTTTAACCAACTGAGCTAAGCGGCCATGAAAATGTCGACATCTATCTTACTTTCTTCATTACATTTCGCAATGCTTGGCGACATCTAGTGTGCATAATTTACAGCATGACATCACATATCAAAGAACATTTTTACATTGAGTATTTCAAAGAACGATTCACCTTCAAGTTTCAGCTTGTGCGCAGAGACAGATACAAATTAAAAATTATCAATAAATATAATACGATACTAATTTTAGATAACATAAGTGTCTACGTCTTAAGCAAGCGTCTAAGTCTGAAGCAATCTTGACAGGATTGTATCAAGTCAATATCAACCTGCCTGTGTTATGTTGCTAGGTAAGCGTCTATTTTTTTCTTCCGCGTATTGCTTTAAGTGAATCCGATTGTGACATTGCAAAGTACACAAGAACCTAGATAATAAACACATGTTTATAAACCCATTAAATGCTAGCGAGTTCACGTTTTAAATTCCTCACGGTAATTTTCCATTGCGTAAAATTACTTATATAAAAAAGATGGCGCTTAATAGACAATGCAAGCATTAAAGTATTAATGTTAATCTTAAGCCATAATAATGTAGCCTTACTATGCGCCCTTACTGATTAAAATACTTATATAAGACAACATTTTCTTAATTGGGGTTTAACCGAATACAAAACAATATATTAAATACTTTATTGTACACAATAAAATACAGTAAACATAGTGTACATAATTATAGGCGGCCTTATTACTAAGGTAGCAATTTCTTCCAGGCAACCTTGAAAGTTATAAAGTTGCGGGATACTATTGTAAAATTAAGTATAAATATTCGTTAATTTACAAAATAATTGAACTGTTATGCGTTCGAGCTTCAACTGAGTATTTTTTTTTTCTCGACATTTCGATTGTCTCTCATCTTTTCAGCCAGTAAAAACTCAGTTTTATTGTATAATATTCCGTTGTTCCTAGCTTACAGGAGCAAATATGTAAAGTGTCACATTTGTTTTATTTGTGCAAGTGTTATTATTCAAATATAAGCAATTACTATTGCCGTTTAAAATACCCAATTGTTAGATTCAGGGGAAGTTTTAACCAAAACAATAAAGTAATACATAAATAAGAGAAGAATTATCAGTTATTATAGTACATTGGTCCGGACACTTAAATCACATAGCCCTTCGCTGGCATTAAATTAGTTCATTACTTAGAAACTAAATAATCATATAAAAAGTATATTTACTTGATCATCATCACCACGATTTGAACAAAACTTATTTTAAAGAAACAAAATTGAGACACATCTCTACAAGAGAAAACGAAATTAGAGACCTGTTATAAAAACAAACAAACCTCACCTGTTACCTCTGCTAATGTAGAAGTCAATTAGTGTACATGTTATTACTAGCCGCAAATGCGGTCATTATTATATCATATCACAGTAGCTTTTTTTGGTATGACCAATGAATAGGAACACTGCATACTAAACTACGGTTAATCACAAACATGCATTATGTCAAATTTTAAGCCAAATAAATAAAGATAAGCATTAAATTATACATATTTTTTTTGTTCAGCTGTCAGTAACATCAGTCATAACTCATATCGGCACTTTGTTTGTTTTTTAGTCTTGTTGAAACTATCTCAAGATTCGCATATCTTAAAATATCACCTTGAATATTTATTTACAACTTTATCATAATTATTGTATTTTTTATAATACTCCTTGCCCGTACTCTTTTCTGCATGGTTGTAGGTATATAAAGAAAACATTAAATGATATTAACATCGTAAAATTTTTGGAGTCTGTTTTTGTAGTTCCTAGTTGATGTAATGTTTTTGTTTGTGCAAGTAACGTATTCAAAATCATGTGACCAGAAGAATGTTGCGTTCACGAGGAAAAATGTTATGTAGGTATATTATTACGATAATTACGTAAATTCGTTAAGCTGTATGTAGAGACAAACAAATTTTTCGTTACGTTAAATGCGGCAAAATATTACTACTCATTGTTTTTATAAAGTATAACCTTGAATATGTAAACACTAAATACGCACCTGCAAACAAGAAAAGGCACAAAGCGATCTTTCCGGGCGACCGCATGTTGCCACGTCTCAATCGTCACTACTTCAACTGCTCAAATAAACGATAACTTCGCGTTATCAGCCGCGTTTCCACATTTATATCCTTTTAATTAATCATTAATAGATCTCCACCAAATCCGTGTATCTAATCTAATGTGTTCAACGTTGCCATGTTATATGATGATATTACCTGGTCGGGTCTTAAAGAAAGTTCTGATTTGTTTGTTCTGATAGGTTTTTAGGGTTCCGTACACAAAGGGACCCTATTACTAAGACTCGGCTGTCGGTCTGTCTTTCCGTCTGTCACCAGGCTGTATCTCATGAACCGTGATAGTTAGACAGTTGAAATTTTCACAGATGATGTATTTCTGTTGCCGCTATAACAACAAATAAGAAAATATTTAAGTAGGGCTTTCATACGATAGACATGATATTGTTGCCGTTTTTATAGATAATGGTACAGAACCCATCGTGCGCGAGTCCGACTCGCACTTGGCCGGTTTTTTTAAGAATGTTAAGTATTGTATTCCGTTGAATAGTGAATTAAAGGGAATATTTTAACTATTGTTTGATGTTCTCTTTAAAACTTTCGTAATGTAAATAAAATGGTTTATAGATTATGCAATCGTTAGATATCAAAATTAACCTTCTGTTACATTTATTAGGCTCATGATACTTATTTATTTGTGATATTTTTATTTGTTTCTGGCTTTAAAAGGTATTTCGGACAATTGACTTATAGCTACTTTTTTCCACCGACTCATAAGGAGATGGATCTCAATTCAGTTGCATGTTTGTTTTAATGTTTATTGACTCAGAGCTTCGTCATACATGAACCGATTTTAAAAGTTCTTTTTGCATCAGGTTCGGTTTAGTTCCTATGTGGTCCCATATTAAACTCATTGGTATTGGGCCTTAAACTCTGGAGATAGATCACCAAACTCTTACATCAGGTAGAGAATGTATGATGAGTGAAATATTTGTAGTCGGTTTTGTTACTTTCTAATAAAAATATACCTACTTATTACATTTTCTTAAAGTAAAATTAAGAAAATGCAATCAAATAGTTTGTTACTTTTAAAATAATTTTACGTTTAGTACAATTTTTTTTCAAATGATATTCTTAATACATAATTATATTTTGCATAAGAAAATCTGATTTATGAAAGAATAATTAAAGGATTTTCTTATATTCTTTTAGTAGTTCATAAATACTGACATTTTTATCAATGTGTGTTTTTAAAAGCGCGAGCATAATTATTTAGGTCCGAGTATATAGTAATACTGATATTTCATTGTAGTGTATACCATATATTTTTTAAGTATACCATATTTCTGGGAATTGTTTATAACTTGGCAACATTATTTATTCGTGACACGCTCACACTTAAGTTACCGTTACCAATATACGGCAAAATTATACCGAAGCTGCAGAATTTAAAAATAGATATATTTCATATATATCTGTTTATATGATGAATCAATTTATAGAAAAAGTTAAATATTTAACTTTTTCTATGAACAAAATCCAAAATTAGTTCCTTTTCGAGCTAAAGGATGGCGCTGTAAAACCATAGTATTAACTTGAACAAGAATTTTTAATAATCGCCAGGCATTATAATAATTAAGGTAATTTAATTCATGTTTACTGGAACCAGATTTTGTTTCAGAGTAAATGTGGCAATATGTGGTATCCGGGGGTAAATGGCCACTGCCGCCCAGCAAACGGTGCCCCGGATCTCTACCCTGGTACAAATTGTCCTATGTAAAGACATAGACTGAATATCTAAAATGCTATCTATGTCTTTGTTTAATTTAACAAGTCCTTGCGCTTATCTGTCCGTCACTCAATATCGATATGTAGATACGGTTGATTTATGATCGCTTTCATTATTAATTTTATTTGAAGAAGTAAGAAAACTGTAATCTGCTCCCGACCATGGAACAGATTACAGAGGCCTTGAATTTTATTTAATTAATTGCATATTTATCCAAACAACCTCACCTGATAACGGTGCGAAATACGAATTGCGCACTTAATCAGGCAAATAGGTATCAGAAAATATTTGGTAAACATGCGTCGGTCAAGGTGCGGGTGACGGATAACGAGAGCCGAGACAAGATAGGAGGCTAACCTGGATAAAATAGATGGGCTAGACAAAAAGATAATCTATAGATTATAGTTAATCTAATATATCTAGAGATTATAATAAATCTTATATGTAATATAGGTAATCTATAGGGCATAGCTTGGGAAACCCTGCTCTAGGTATACATAGAGGAGCGTTATATTAACCTAAAATATTTTATTAACATAAACTTTTCTTTAACCATTTCTTCCGTAAAACAAAGAAATGGTTAAATACTTCTTTTGGTAGGTTGTTGCAAATAAGTAGACTATTTATCTGATGTGAATATTAAATCCTTGCTATTCATGCCATTATTTTAAAAATTTTGTAGCATGGCCTCGGTTACACCAGACGTAATCGAGATTATCCCGCCGTCCGTTTATCTACAAAAATAAATCAGCGCTTATAACGCCTATATAGAAACGTTATAATATGCCTTGTGGTAGAGCCACGAAGCAGCTCTTATTGTGAAATGTCAGGCTCATCCAACGGACCACGCCCTCACGGAAGACCAGCATCAAGTAGAAGATTAACACTTGCTTTTTGTCTGGTTATTGTGAAAACCAGTGCTTCTTAATTGTTCCGTCATCACTGAGGATTGTAACTCACACTTACTACGAGTTCTACGATAACAAGGATCACCAGATGTTCAGGAAATTGATCTGACTATCTATATTAAAAATTATATATTAAAAAATTCGGCCTCAAGGTCTTTTCCCCGCCATTTTGCCTGCTAGTTTTTTTATGTGAAAAGTTGCCAAACGAGCAAACGGTTCACCTGATGTTAAGTGAATACCGCCGCCCATAGACATCTGCTACACCCGAGGGTTTGCAGATGCGTTGACAACCTTTTTGGTAATTGGACTCGGGCGACCTCACTCACCAGACGAAACGCGAAAGCATTTGTCATAGTTCCACTTTACGCCGATCTTCTGTGAGGTCGTGGTACTTACCTGGACGAGCCTCCCCTTTCGTGCAACAGCCGAGGCTGCTGCGTGGCTCTAGCACCGTTTTTAGCTAGCATTTGCGTGGCGATCTACAAATATTTTCAATGTGAATATGATGTGGCGAATGCGCTGTCTATTCTTTATTGATAGTATGTGAGCTACCTACTGTAATACATGATAATTTTATTTTTAAAAATATTTTTTTACATAAATCATTAATCCTCTGACCTTATCCCACCCAGATGGTGTCGGGACAACATGTGAATCTTGTTGTAAGTGGTTAAGTCTAGGTTTTTTATGTTCAGCGCCTGCCTGACGTCAACCCTCTTTGGGAACAAACATCAGTGTTCCGGAGCGATTCTCTGTGGGTCACACAAATACTTGGCCCGTGTGGGAATCGAACCCACGACTCTCGGCGCCGAAGCCAATGCAACTGCTCCACCGAGCTAGTTCTAAATTTATTTGGTTACTTTTAAAACTTCCTCGGTATAGAAATTAAGTTAAGTGTTCTGTGTTTGATTACCAAGTTTGCTTAGCGTTTGCATGCAGGTTAAAACTGGTCCAGATTAAAAGTTACGTGCGTTAATAGAGGTCCGAAACAAAGTACGGGTTGCTGTAATTGATAAGGAATTGACGATATGCAGTAAACGTGCGTCGTGACACAACATTGATATAGACGTTAATAAAACAATGCTTGAAGGTAATAGTTAGGAATTTACTTATGAAATGCTCTTGTTATGTATGGCCTATTGTGTGATCGCAAGTATTATTATTGTTTAATTTGCATGACTATTATGGAAAGTCTTTGTATTGGAAAGTATTTGTTTGTAGAAGTATTAAATAGGGATCGCCAGCAATAGCATTTTGTTTTCCTAAAAATGACGTAATAGTCACCTGAGATATTTTGTAATTAATGTAGGTGTATTTAAATGTGTATTTTTTATTTTTATTTCATTTTAAGTTTCATATTAAGTGCAGGGACTTATAAAATATTTAAATAGCAGAGGTGAATTCACTAGTTTAAATATTCATTGTAAAAATGTAATTTTCAGAAAGTTTGCAATAAATGATGCACATAAGATAACGGCGATCGCTGAAAATTCGATACAAACAGATTAGATAAGTCTTCGATATTTTCGTGCGATGAGCTTCGAGCTGGCGGAGATTTCGTCTACACGTCCTCTTTTACCTCAAAGAGCAGCGTACGTTCGTAGTGACATATTATAAAGCATTACTTTTACATTTCATCAGCTGAGTCGGGTAACCCGAGGACCTATGCAGCCCTATATAGCCTATGCAACTCTGTGCACCGTATGCGACTCTATGCAACGTATGCAACCCCATGAAATGTATGCAACCCTTGTGATATTGCAAATTTCCTGCCGGTGTTCTAGGTTTTGTTGTGTTTCGTATTAAAATCGTAAAAAGAATGTTTAAACGTTGAATTGTTTATTTGACTATAATAAATGCGAGTTCCGAACACTGTCAGCTACCAAATATTTTTATCTACGCTCATGGTAGAGTCCACTATTGCTTTATTCAATGATTCAAAATTATCCGCGCGATGTTAGCTTATTCCTTATTCGTATCGTCATGTTTTAAAAGGTAAAAATACTTTTATTTCAGATATCTCTTTATTTGCAACGGTTTAAATGTAAATATATAAAAAACCGGCCAAGTGCGCGTCGGACTCGCGCACGAAAGGTTCCGTATAATTATCAATATAAAAGGTGAAAAAAATCATGTGGGAGCCCCACATGAATATTTTGTTCTGTGTTTTATTTGTTTTTATAGAGGCAACAGAAATACATCATTTGTGAAAATTTCAACTGTCCAGCCATCACGGTTCATGAGATACAGCCTGAAGACAGACGGACAGACACACAGACAGACAGCGGAGTCTACGTAACAGGGTCGTTTTACCCTTTGGATACGGAACCCTA